GTGTCACGTTGTCCCCTCTTATATATACCCGCCTACCCTATATCTAGTAAGAACTAGAACATTCGCCAAAGTACAGGATAATTCTAGAAAGTAGAGAGCGTGAGAATCACATGATCTTGATGACGCAACAACTGCTAAACAACTTCACCCACTGCAAATTCTTGGGTTACTCTTGACTAATATGGCCAGGTGCTTAGGACGCCTGACTAGCAATCTGAGGGTCGTGGATCCGAACACCCATCCCACCAAACATGATGGCCCTTTCAGGTAAAAGAGTAGCCCAAGAGTTGGCGGTGGGTGGTGATGACTAGCTGCATTCCCTCTCGTCTTACACTGCTAAAGTAGGGACGGATAGCGCAAATAGCCCTCGTGTAGCTTTGCACGAAATTAAAATAAAAAAGCGCCCTAACTATCAGGCCATCCGAAGTAATAAAAATGCCCTTCAATATAATTTGACTGACATATATAATCTGGTATTTGTTTATTAAGTATATTTAACACTTAAATAAGAAACTAAATTTTTACCTTCACTAATGTGAAAAAACAAAATAAAACCTGTATACCTCGTAAGTGAAAATTTGAAGGACATTTTCAAATAACGACTCTGTGCTACCAAACGAACACTAGGAGAAAGCTTTGAGTTTCCTTAGCAACGTTGTAATTCAAATAGTAATAATTGTTTAGACGGAAGAACGTGTTTACGTAGTCAGGTAATATTAGCATACTTATATGTAATTATTTGTATTGTATAACTTGTATGCAATAAACCAAAAACTTCTGGCCACTGCATTTAACTGAAGCCTAACAATGATATTTCAGAGCATATTCCATATCTCAGGTTTGTCTACATACCAGATACAAATTATAGAGCCAGAACTTTAAATCCGCCAATTTAGCGTTTGAAAATGTGATACCATTTTTACTATTTTTTTAGGGTGAAAGCGATATTGCAGCATTAGGTAATTCTAAATTATTTCTCACGATAAAATGTAACGAATGAATATTTAGAGATCCATTATTTAGAATGTTATATGATTTAAAAATAAATATGTTGCAATGATTTTAGCTAAAAGTGTATTAGTCAGTATAATTACAATTTCGAAATCGTTTCACGTTTTCCAAATGGAGAAGTAAAAAGACTATCAAATCAGTAAAGCCTAGGCCTATTAGGTTTAGAGTTCAGAGTCTGGGTCAGGCAACTAATAGTAATTATTCTAATCTGTAGAACTAAAAGTGGATCCTGATTCCAGAGGCTCAACTCTGGGCTAGAGACGGGTAATTTAATGGTGTAGTTAGACGTCAAAACAAGTGTGATAAGCTCAATCCAGAAGTTGACAGAGAACCAATAAAAAATTTGCAGTAGACACTAATGTTAAAATTAAATTATTTTATACACTAAATGTCCAAACGGACTTTCTTCTAGGCCTGAGAGTGTTCATTATAACTTGTAGACACTGAGAATACTAGTCTAACACTTAGGCCATATGATGGACCTATTTCTCATTTAATATTCTGATTTGTACAAATACCACCTAGTGTTTAAAGTTAAAGTAATTATTTAAAATTTACAATTTCATAATGGTTTATACTTCACTACAACTACAATAATTTATGGTACACTTTCCCTTAGTTTCTTGAATATTACATGTGATAATGATACATCTTATAATACCCGAGGATAAAGTGTGTTTATTTCATTGTTATTTACTAATACACTAATTTATAATTGATTTCTTTGCTCAATTGCTGTTAGTATAATCATTAACACATTTACAATGCACATGTGCATTGTAAATACAAAAATGTAAAGGTTACATGTTTTAGATTTGTTATTATTTCTTTTGTTTAAATTGAAAACACAACAATATTGCACTAAAACTTATATTAGAACTTGTCATAGATGATGCCTAGCATCACAACATTTAAAGTGTTAACAGCACTACACTGTACTCTGTCAAAATATCTAGGATATATTACACCTATTAGTGTTAAACATGTAATTTATCTATACTATAAGATAATATGTCATCCAGTCTTGTACAATCAGTGCAATTATCTAATGATAAGTTTCAAACAATTTGTGAGGTATAAGTTTGTGTTCATATACTAAAAGGAACATTTCTCCTTGCTAATTATTAAACCATAAGAATATTACTGTTTTTAAATGCCTAATTAATACATTGGAATAAATTGATAAAGTTTTATTTTTTTGAAGTAAATTGTCTTTAGATAGACATTCATAATTCAGTATATAATGGTTGTTTAGAAGTCATTGAGAAAAACAGAAAATAAAAGGAATACAATATAAAATAATGGAAGCTATGAATTTTGCAGGGTTGAAGTATTAACAGTGTATTTTAATTATATAACTAAGAGGAACTACAACTGATTAAGTAAAACAATATTTTAAAATATGTGGAAATAAATGGATTTTTCACTATAATATTTACAGGCTTTTTACACCAAAACAATCTGGTATGAGTATACAATTGTTTTTATGAATCACTTGAATTTTAATTATACTAGGATAATGCTAAAGCTAAAACAAAAGTGTTATTTATTTTATTTTGATCCTAAAAACATGTGAAAAACTGCAACTGTAGTATGAATTTTATAGATTTTTATCTTTTAATTACTTCTTTTTTAGATTCCTTTTGTTTTCTTTCTTTTCATTACAAGTAATTCAGTATCATTAAATGATAATTTATTTGGGAATTATTTTCATTGCTGCACAGTTTCTACTGTTTATTTGTTTGCAGTAGTCTGAGATATTCACTAAATTGATTTTTTTATATTAAAGTTAAAAATTTTTTCAAATCTTTGACCTATGTTTTTAAATTAATCTAACTGCAGTTCTTTGAGTTTCAGGGTGGAAAAACAAAAATGGTAAAGCTTCACATTAAAAAAGGAAATGAATCCCAATTTTTGCATGAGACAACAGTCGATGTAGAAATATCAGAACTCTTAAAAGATGTGGTTGCTATTTATAATGGAAGGCTAAAGGTTGGCCGAATTTGTACTGGTAAGAGTACATATCTTGTATTTTTATACCAAGTAGATGTATATTACTTATGTTGTCATACAGCAAAATTCATTAATCACAAAAAGTTATGAAATTTTTTACATTAATTAACTATTTTATCACATGCATGTAAAAGCCTTGATAATTTGAAATTTCTTGTAGAAAGAGGAACGTGTATTGTTACTTAGGTTGATTTTTTTTGTAGGAATGATCTTGATCTACAGGAAAAGATGCTGTAAAATCTGAGCCCACATGCAAATTAAGATTTGTTTCTAAATCCATTATTATTCTAAATTCTTATGTTTTGGAAAAGTCTATATATTGATGTGTAGCATACGTACCAAAATATAGCATAAGTATTGAAAATATATGACAAATTGTAGTTTCTTTTTAGATACATTGTCTTATGTGGAGGAGTGGAAAACTGACATCTTTTGACAAAATGAAAGTAAATTCTTTTTTAGTAATAAATTGAGACAGTTTGCTGACAGGGCTGTCGATAGAGGAAACTTCATTATGTAAAATAAACTAATATGGAGAGGGAGTTTGAGGATTTAGTTATGGAAATTACTTTTCTGAAGCATTTGTGGCATTTCTAGGTCATTTTATGCTATTTTCAAATGCTTTGAGAAAGGAGAGATATAATTTTATAAAATTCCATGTATGAATACTTACATGCAATATAAAGAAAAGTTGGGCATGTCTAATGAATGCATACAAGAAATTACACAGTAATACTTAACAAAAAAAGGAAATATATATGTCAAGTATAAACTAAGATGCATTCCAGGTGGTACTGAGAATTGAATGTTTATACTAACTTCATTATAGAGTGATCACAACTTCCATAAAAGGAATTTGCAAGGAAATCAGAGACTCTGTGAGGAATTATTGATCTGAAAAGGACGAGAAGTATATGCAAACAGGCTGCCAACATACCATCTTTGATCATAACTAATTGTTGAATCAGTTTGGATTTCAGTTCCTAAAATTATGATGAGCCAAAAAAAATTCATCCAATTAAGTGACAGATCTACAAGTTGAATGTGTACACTATTTGGAGAATCGTAAAAATACCAAAAAAATCTGTATAAAAACCCATGTTTTTGGGCTAAAAGTTAGTCTCCTGCCTCGTATGAAGAAGCCATTGGTCCTACTAGCAGTTTGTCAATTGAAATTTTACAGTCTCCAGGTGCATATGAAGAAACCAAACAACCTGCTGCTGGTTGAAGAAAACTGATGCTGCCTGATCCAACTATCTCTGAGCCCATAACAATGTTGTACATGTCTAACATTTCCTACTCAAGCTCCATCTACGTAACTATTGCTATCTGTCTTAGAGTCGAATAATGTAGTTAGAAATTGAATGTATAGTGTTTAGTATTAAAGAATTAACAAGAGTTATGTCTGAGCAGTTTTCAATCAGTGTGTTAATTGATAACTTACTGATAGTATTAAGTAATTTAATGGACATTATAGAATGTTTATTTGAAGAACAGTGACCTTTTCAGATTGAAGAATTTAATAGTTTTAACAGTAAAACATTTCAAGGTACCTTCGATAATATCGATATAGCCAAGAATCTTAATCTTCTTCCGTAGCTTTTTCCGTATCTATACGGGGTCGCTATTTTCGGTGTTGGCAGGGTTTTTACGGCCGGATGCCCTTCCTGACGCCAACCATTCCCTAATTTAGCAGTGTAAGACTAGAGGGAAGGCTGCTAGTCATCACCACCCACCGCCAACTCTTGGGCTACTCTTTTACCAACGAATAGTGGGATTGACCGTCACATTATAATGCCCCCACGGCTAAAAGGGCGAGCATGTTTGGTGGGATGGTGGCGCGAACCCGCAACCCGCAGATTGCGAGTCGAGCGCCCTACCCACCTGGCCATGCCGAGCCTTAGCCAAGTATCTTAATATATTGCTTTAAAGTGTTGTTTGTGTTTTGAATCTCAGTCTCCAAGTCAATTCCTTATTCTAGTTGTAAACTTCCTTGAGTGTGTGACTTGTGCATTCCACTCATGACTATAAACCTGGATTTTAAATGAATCTATTGTAAACTGGATTTAAGTTGAACTCCAAATGACTAGCCTACATGGTGGTCCACATTTTCACATTTCCATAATTAATTCCTCCATGAACGTCATGATATTTTGTCCCCCCCCCCCCAACCCTTCATCTTTGTTTATTTTAAATTAATTAATGCCTGTATAACTGTTAAGAGTGTAGGTAGGCTAAACATACCTATATTTAAAGCCCTAATAATTGTATGTATATTACCAAAGGTAGTTGGCTCAAGTGATTAATAATAAAACAAGGACTTTTAATTGTGCCAGACATTATTATTTCTTCTACTTCTCTGCCATGATTTATTGTTTAGTCTCACACTATATTGAGACCCGTTCTTCACATGAAGAATTTTACCTTGCTGTTCTCTTTCTCTTACTAAGAAGATCTTGTTGTAAAAGTGATTATTTGAGTTTGAAAAGCCATGGTCATAATCATAGACATAGCTACCTATTTTTAAGTAGTTGGGTGTATTTTTCTTTTAATTAGTTTTGATAATGAAATGATTTTTGTTGTACCCAGGATTTTTTTCATGGTTTTGCTTAACAGACTTATAGAGGAAAAGGGGTAAAAGGTCGGTAAATTATTTAAATTACCTGTCAATTATCTTAATAGATGCAACAGCTTTTTATTACTGTTGGACCTGTAACTCAAGTTTTCAGTTAGGTAAAGAATCATAGAAATTACATGTAAAGAGCTTGGATTCTGATTTTTAAATCTCGAGGTGCAGGATTTTTATTTTAGATAGAATGATATGTACTGATAAATTAGACCATTTAGTAGTTGAAAACAAAACTTAAATTTAAACATTTATTTGAAGCAATCTGCACATTCTTCAAGTGAAAAAATAGCTATATGTATAAAGAAAAGTTTTCTGCCTGTCTTGTGTACATTTCACAATTTGTTTTCAGGAACTGGTGGAATAAGTGTAAGTAAAATTTGATAGAAGAACTCAGATTTCCTAAGCTCAAATAACAATGGATAAGCAACTAAATGTATGAGTTTAACAATTATTTCAATTTTTACTGTGTGAAGCCAACATCAACTGAATGTTTAATGCCTTGCATAGCCCATATATGTATGCTGCTCACTTATATTTAATATGTCTGCATAGTAACAATGTACACCCATGCCATTGCACAAATCATGTGCAGGGGTAGTCTGCTGATTAAATCAATCCAATAGGCAAAAGATAAAGCTATGTAGACTAGAACTGGTAACTATATATTCATACATGTATGATACATAGATGTCACAAATTTTTAAAATATGGGACATGTTATAAATGTAAATGTTGGAAAACTAGTATTTTATATAGCCCTTTAAAAGTGCTTACATTTATAAACACCACACACCATGTAACGTGTATATAATTTTTATGCCTTTGTATGTGGGTTTCTAATATATGGCTTGTACCTGTATTAGTATAGTCAGATATAGTACAGAACTATTATAACTCATCCTCTTACACTCTTTTGAAAAATATACATCATTTACTCATTAAATGTAAAATATTGAAATATTGGGGGGTTTATGCCCCCATCTAGTCATATTTGATTCTATGAAAGTACGAAACTAAATGCTGTGCCAGATGTGAGTGCATTGCTAGTATACCTATATATTTTACTTATCCATTAAGAATATTATTTAGACATTTATTAAAATATTTGGCTGTATAAATTTGTATTTCTTTTTTAGTCATATGACTTGTTGTGAAATTATGACTTACATTTTTTACCACATTTTTGCAATCTCTTATGTTTACCATTTGTGTTTTCATAATTTATTATTACTGTAACTAACTAATTGGAACTTAAAAGTGTAGTGAAATTGTAAACCTTTTGACACTTTCAGCCTTCTGTTTACAAATTGCACATAATAATGTAACCAATTTAAGCTGTGTTTATCATAAAGCTGGAGTTGACTTGTCTTGACAAACAGTTAATCATATTATTTACCTATATAACTTAAGATAATAAACCCTTAAATTCAACCACTAATGGATGGAGTCATGAAATTATCCAAAAATTGCAAATTAGAATTATTGTAAGTATAGGTTGTTGTTGTTTATAATTCAGTGCATCGTTGTTGTTTTTTAAAGAAATGGAAGATTTGGCAAAACATGGTACTATGCTTCCTCCCAACATGCAAGGGTTAACTGATGAGCAGGTAATAGAACTAAAATTGAAAGATGAATGGGGAGAAAAATGTATTCCCAGTGGTGGATTTGTGGAAAACAAAGATACTATTGGAAGAAGGAATGGAAAAGGTTTGTGAAATTCAGTCATTGCTATAAAATTGCTATAATTTATACCAAACTGTATTTGTATAAAGATGTACCAATAGCATTTATTTGAAGGTCATAAATAAGTAAAAACGTTTTTTTTTAAATGTGCTTTCCCTATTCATTTTTAATGCTACATCTATCATTTTTCTCCTACATCTATTGCTTTCATTTCTAATGCTCACCAACCCAAAAGGATTGAAAATGAAAAATAGAGCATTTCAACATATTTATACCATATTTATATAATAATTTTTCAGTGTTTGTTATCTGTGTAAGTATATGCATTTTTCACAAGATGGTTGTTAAGTTCCTATTACTTTAGCTGCATATTGTTTTGTGTCATTCACATAAAGTAGTATCTTTTGTCTTCTGGAAAAGTTAGTTGCAAGGTCACTTGTAGTATGTGATATTAAATGGTTATATTTTCACTCTTGAGGTAATGACCCTATTATATTTCATTAAGAATGACTAGTCATGGGGTTAGTGTGAGATTTATTCAACCTAGAACACTATTTCAGCCAGTACAGTAGATAAACAGAGATAGTCTTGTCCATGATCTGAACTGAAATATAGCATATTCAAATCTAACTCTCCAGAAGGTGACTGTTCTTTGTGGCAAGTACAATACATCTTAACTTTTTATCTTAAATAAAGATTGTTTATTGTAGTTCTACATTTGTGTCCAGTCTCTCTATTTCTCATGAAATGAGTTAGTCAGAGAATACAGAATTTTGTTAAACATCTTGACGTATCAAAGAGTAGATAGATAGGAGAAATTTTTTTAACCATGACCACAGGATATCATATTACAGAGTTTTCTGTATTTCACCTTTAGTTTAAACATCTATGTGTTTAAGTTCATAAAAGGCTTCATTTTGAGGTAATAATATCTTCAACAGCTTTAAGGACTAATGAACAAGAGGGAGAATTGGTTCCTGAAGAGAGACAGTTGTTCAAGAGAATTGTAGGGTCTAGAAGGAGATTCCTCATAGATTTATAACTTTTGGTAATCCTGTGAATGTCCCTGACGTTTTTTTTATATTATGACCATTGACCCAGGAAGGAGAAATGGTAATGTTTGATACATTTAGATCAGTCAATTGAATTTTTCCCCAGAAGACTGAACTGTTGGCCAGATGTCAGTTCCCAGAGGATCTGGTGTTGGTTGTGTTGGAGGTGCATGTGCCTGCTTAGGTGGGTTATTGTTATGGTAGCTCTTCTCTGCTGGTGAAAGGTAGAGGACCCTCTTCCTACCGCGGACCTGATGTACAATTCCAGATGCTACTGCAATACACTGGGGGGGGGTCCTATTATTTATGTAATTTTTCTTGTGATTCCTTCTTTGTTTCCACCAATTTGGTGCCACATTACTCACAGGCAAGGAGTACACCTGCCTCAGAAGTGGTGCAGTCTCCCATGGTTGTTGTTTTTAGTTCATTCTCTCACCCCATGGTTTTTCTTTGGTCGCTTTCTCCACTTGTTCAATATGGAATTCTATCTTTTTATGAGAAAAGGTAATATATTGTATTGGAAATTAACATTTTCTTAAACTGAAAATGTATTTCTGACAGATACTTACACCTGTCCTCACCACTTCTGATGTGGTTTGGTGTGATATGACCAATCTCAAAGTAGTTAACAGCTGAAAGATTAGAGAAGGTGCTAGTTATGATAGAGGTAGTGCTGCATTCCTATTGGTAGAGGGTTGCTGCATAATCATATGCATGTTAGTATGCAGATATCTTACTTTAACACATGTGAGAGTAAGTGGGAGTGTTAAGGCTAGTGGCAAGCGAAAATTTGTGTTGACAGAGGGCAATATAAATCAAGAAAGGTTTGTGTGAGATATGGTGAGTATTTATTGGAAACATATTTTCAGTTTAAGAAAATGTTAACTTTCCAAGCTGTCAAATGAATTTTACAGTACAATGTATACATTGCATTATGTGATTTTATGTAGCTAAGGAATTAATGACTTGAAAGGCATGTTGCAATCCTTGCTTTATGAGCTACTGAGCAGAATTTCATTGGGAAATATCTTCTGGCTGTTGAGTAATGGAAACTTAAACATGAGCTAGAATGCCAGTATGGTTTGTGATAAGATTGATGGAACCAAGTGGGTTTAGCTTTTTGAACAGAGTTAACAATAAGAGATATCTCTAGGATATTGTGATATAGCTGATTGATTATCCTGAAAGGGCACTGCAATCCATGTTTTCAAACATTCGAGAGCTTTTCTGAGACAAAATGTCATCTGAGGTTCTAAGAGAATCATTTGCTTGATCTACCTGAGTAGCATATTGCACAACCCTCAATAGGTTATTTTCAGTACACTGTACATGACTTCTTTGTATGCATAATTAATAATGGCTGATGAGAAATCTAGCTGAATGTCTTAGTTTAGTTAACTAGTGGTTATTTATTTGATGATGCCCAAAAAGGAAAACCTGTGGGTTTGACAGTTTGTAGATGGCAGCACATTAGAGACAACAGTTATTGAAAAATAAATTGTAGGAAAAAAGTCAAGATACCCACCAAAGTAATTTGTGCATGTGTTAAAGGCAGTCTGTTATAAACTACTGGAGTATGTAATAGTGATATATGTATATAGCAATACAGTATATGAATATAAATAAATATATTTGTGGACTCGCACACATTCATAAACATTATGTAAGAATACAATTGTTAAGCAACATGAGAATGAAAGTAAAAGATTTGATCTGAATGTTATGACTTTTTATATGAAGTTAAATGTGATTATTGACCTGAGGGATATTAATGGAAGATACAGTGCACCTGTTATTTAATTAATACTAGCAAGAGAATGTTTCAATTTTGTCATTGAAATAACTGGAATGTTGTGAATTATCACTGAGGGATGAGATTAACAAGAAAACTTACACCATGATCTGGATAGTACATAGTTTTACCTGGAATTTTTCAGTAAGAGTCGTGCATGATATTTTGTTTGGTTCAATATAAATACTTATGAGTTAGTGAAATTGTCCATAGTTGATGAAATTCCTGGAAAGTAATTTGTGTTAGTGATACATTTTCTACAATCAGTATAAGATGTGATAACAACTGAAGCCTATAGAAGGATCACTTGACCAAAGTGATAGTTTTATTACTCCATGTTTTAAATGTAATTCTAGAACAGGACAGGTTTGTAACTCCGTAGTTACAACATTTTAATGTTATGTGTTGGAATGAAGAAAGGTACAAGAACCAAAACACCCAGGACTTCTTATTCAGTAATGGAGAAAACCTGGACCTAACAACAATTTCCAAGATGCCTGGAGCCAGCCTAACTCTTGTATCAATGGAGTCAATGGACTAAAATGCATTGCTGGATTCTAGAGCATTATTACATAAATGATTAACAGTATGGATTAATCTCTATTAGAGTTTCATGTATCATTATGTGACAAGTTCTTGTGTTATTGCAAAATGTTTATTTGTAGTAATTCATTGTTAAAGTACATTTCATGTTTTTGTTGCATGTAAATGTTTTGACAGGGGCAGGAAAAATTTATACCACTGCTTTACAAACACATTTGTAAATTTTATTGGATTTAAAGTTAACATTAATGTTGGCTTTAGGTCAAGCCTGAAAGAAAGGGGCAGGAGAAGTGTTTTCAACCTCCTTGTGTTAATGTAAGATTTTAAAATTTTTTTTATTTTTGTGTGTATGTGCAATTTCCACATAGTATGTTGATCAAGAAGATCATTAAGTTTCTTTGCTCTAGCTACCTATTGCTCTGCATGATTCACCTAGAATAACATCTTTTGTGTTCTCGTAGGAAAGGTAGCTGAAAGGTCACTTGTATGTGAGGTTAGGCAAAGATCTTTTCAACTGGAATTCAGATAACCTCTTGAGGTAATGACCTCATTCATGTTTGATTTGGAGTGAATCATTATATGGGTAGTGCTAGTCATTCTGGGAAAGTCTGACAGTAATGATACAAATAAATAAAATGAGATATCTTTTGTTGGTAAATGGTCCCAGATGATACAGTCTGTAACAGGAGATCAACAGTTATTGTTGTGTACAATTTGAACTGAGACAGAATATTTTCAAATCTAACTGCAAGCAAAGATGACTGTCCATTTTAATACATTTTAACTGCTTGTTTTAAATAAAGATTGTTTATTGTGATTGCAAATTTGTATTCAGTCTATTTTTATTTCTCACAAACTCGGTTCATCAGAGAATACAGTAAATATCTTAACAAATCCCCCATTATTCAGTGTCATTCTTAGGGGGACTCAGTGCTATCTGAACACTCCACACCCCATCTCTTTAAGTAAGAATATTAGGAACATACAGTCCCATTTGGGCTGTGAAATACAAAAATGAAATTCAAATTAGTAGTTATCACACAACTTTTAAATTAAGGTCTTTTGTTGACATTTCATCTGTTTGTTTCACAGCATATGTTTTTATTTTCCCTAAATGTTAGTATCTGTTTAGTAAGATATTACTTTGCAGTCATTATGAAAATATACTTTTAGTATTTTTGTTTTTAGTTTACAATCTGCGTTAACTTCAAATACTATTAAACTATTTATATTCTAGCTCCAAATCAGAAAATGGCAGAAGTATTAACTAAGACCTTGAGTGAGGCCAAAGCCAAGGTTTCAAAAGTAAGTTGATTAGATAGCAGTAAATAAAAGGTTAAAACTTTCTTTAACAACCCTTTGTTTATATGTGGTTTTTAAACTTATTTTTGCAGTTGCAGCAAAATACATGTCCTAAATTTGCAAAAATTTATAAAAAATTTTGGTGTCTGGTAGCCCTTATATGCTGTAAAGTATTGCTTCTTTTTTCAGACTGTACAGACCAGTAAACATACTTACACACACACATGTACAGTTTGAGAAACCTTTTATTTCTGTTATATGTGAACTATAGAATGTAGAACATGGATTTTTTTGGCTATTCTATAGATATAAACGAATTATTGAGACAGAAATATGTCTACACACACACACATTTACAAATAAAAAGAGCATTATTTCATTTGTTTCATCTTTTTCCTTTTAATGTTGTGTACTTTTTAAATCAGTATAGGCCCAGACTACACTGTAATTATTATGTATGTGGCCACTGTGATGTAATGTAGCATTTCTTTGTTTATTAAAACTACTGTGATGCTTGTAAAAACATTTGTATGAAAGATTTTTGATTTTATATTTCAACACTGCTTTTAACCTGCTAACATATTAACAGACTAATACAGAACCTGAACAATTAAATGCATTTCTCAGAAACTACAGACCTGCTTTAAAGTGTAATAAATTATAATTTTTATAGTTTATTGTATCAAGAAGTGGTCTGTGAATGCTGATGTGATGAGAAGAAGGATGACTTAACAGACATTTAATTTGTTATATATTTTATTAAATGTAAAAGGTTTTTTAAAAAATCTCAAGTTAATAAATGCTATATGGCTCTTTTTATTATTAGTAGTATAATTACTAAATCCTCAGCATAATTTACTTCCTTCTTCACTTTTACTGTTATGTTCTTAGAATTACTGATATAGTCTTCCCATGTCGACATTGACACTGTGGTTGCTGGACACATTCTGGGAACATGAAGACTAGCTTGCTGGTTCATTAGTCCTTCTGAATGATGAGTAAAGGCAACTAGAATGAATAGTAATTATAAATAACTGGTGTTAAAATAAGTGAATAACAGTCTGTTATTAATATTTTCTTTAATTCTGATTTGTAAATGACTTTAATAAAATTAATAGAAAATTACACTTCACCAACTTAATACAGTTCACACCATATTATTTGTGGTTCTTGCAATTTGATCGTATAAATTGCATCTGAACCACTGCTACATCCATTATATCCCAGCCAGCCTCATGAGTTCTGATATTAGGAAAAATGGCCATGTCGGCACTGAATGTAGTATATATAGTGTATTTGATGTATTTTTATACATTTTTCTTCACTTGCATTCTTAAGTTCTTAGGATTAAATAATGTTTGAGAAAGTTAGTGTACAGTTGAAGTCTAATTGATGACATTTTACATCTAATTTTTAATAAATAATGAGAAATATATTTTGGTGCTCAAGTCTAACTGATAAATATATGTACCATTGTATTAAGTTCTGTGGTTATTACTTCATACAGCACGCCAGGGAATCTGTAGCAGAATTGCTCATGTTAGTATCTATGTCAGCCATATTGAACTTAGTACATGAATTTAACGCATTTATGTGTAGCTTTTCATATACTGATTTCATTAGATAAAACTTTATAATAATAAATAAATAAACTTTAATGATCAATCTTAGAAACAAATCGAAGCCAATGTCTGTCTGAGCCAGACAATGGTTAAAGAAGCCCTTGATATATTGCAAGGTGCAGTCATGATTGTGTATCCAATGGGTTTGCCTCCACATGAACCCATAAAGAAAGAGCTGGACAATGAAGAGGATCTTTCGGGAACACAGGTAAAAACAAATTAAACAATTATTCATTGTTCTTCTTATATCAAGAGAATAAATTTATCTTTATTTACAAGGACAGCTATTTTATTCTGCTCTTCAGTTGAGAACCTGTATTCAAGCAAAGAGTTTCACACTCATGGATAAAAAATCCATTTATCACCACTTATTATGCTCTCCAATGGCTCAGCAATAGCTTAAGGGCTTATTACACTAAAATTGGAGCTTTATCCCTGTTGTTGGCACAGCTTAGATAGTCTATTGTGCAGTTTAACACTTAGCAACAAACAAATAAAATACTTTATACAAATGTCAATTCCAGTTATACCAGATATCTTTCCTTACATTGTGGCCACATTGTCATTTTCATGTGTAAATAAGATAATGTGTATTTGTTATAAATATTATTAGCAACTAACAATGCTTTTAGGCTTATTAAATTAAAAATATTAATTTAATTTAATTTTTTAAAATGCCTTGAAATATTATAATCAAAATGAAGTATAACATATGACATGTTTCAAAAACCAGGTCATACGTTTCAGAAAACTGTTATCATCACACAGTGTACATGTAAGGCACTGAATACAGCAAACCACAAGTAAGTTTAAAGCAATAATTTTTCATGTGGTATTAGTAGAAGAAGATTATGAACAAGCAGTCTTTTTAAGGTAAACAACATGGACTTACAATGGACATATAAAAGATACTCTTAACACACATATAAACCATTTTATCAAGATACATATAAAGGATTTTTCTTGTAGAGGTCCTTTGTAAGTCTTTGAATTTTGACATAGTAGAAGTAAGTCCTTGAAAATCCCATTTTGGGGAGGAAAGTGCTTGAAAGTCCGTAAAAATTTACTAAATATCTAACTAATCTGAAATAATGATGCCCTAGCTCTATTATCTGGTTTATGGCATCTTCTTTAAATGACAAAGAAAAAGTCTAAGTTGAAGTTTTTTATTAATACAAATATTTAGCTATGGAACTTGAAAAGTCTAGTGAGGTTGTACAAACCCTGCATATAGATAAGGTCACTTGCAACATGCAATATATTAATAAGCTATAAATGTTCTCTAGACATAGTTGTCTTTTATGTGTACATGGATGGACAACTAAAGTTTGTGATAGTTTTTTGAGAAGTCTCATAAAAGTAATCTCAATATGGTTATTATTTTTCAATACTTTGACTTTAGTGTCTTTTTTTTTTTTTGAAAGTGTGAAACCACCTCTCATGAACTTGTTTACTTTTATTTAGGCATTTCTTGATGTCTTGGAAGTAACACAAACACAGTTATGGTGGGCTGGTAAGGAGTTAGAGGTTGGAAAAAAATTAGCTAATTACGTTGGGAAAAATGAGAAAACCAAAATCGTTGCAAAACTTCAAAAGGCAAGTTTACAAATAATATTTTTAAATCTTTTTTCCATTTTGGGTCAGCATAGATTATAAGCCCAAAATTATGTTTGGTTGATTAATTCAAAATTTGTAAACATACAGTTAGTCCTTGAGAATGGGTAATTTCAAATTTAGGATGCTATCAAAATTTTTAATTACAAATACTGCTCATCATTTCATCTACATGAAAAATGTGATTTGTAAATTTTAACATAAGGGGTTAGCAGTGGCGTAGCAAGGGGGTCAGTCACCCATGGGCACAGGTGTGAAGGGGCACAAAATTTCCTCCGGCCTATAATGCCTATTAATTAATAATTATGCCCTCCCCTAGGATATAGCGCAACTGCCCTACGTTAAGTAAATACGACACAGTGGTACATTATTTGTGTGTATAACGCTTGCAGTTTTAACTTTTAAAAACCAGCCATTGAAATACTTTGAGATCGAATTGACGTACAGAAGTAAATTACACTATTCCATCATTCATCTGTAGATCAAATACAAGTCCTAGAGTACAACCTACAATTAAGCCTATGTTCAACAAAAAGAAAATACGAGATTGATGTAAGATATTAACTCATGTGCAAGATTGGCAATATATGCAACAGGCAAGGTCTAGATCTAGTAAACATTATAGGCCTAATGTAGTGGTTTG